GTATTCTTCGCTGAAATTGGTGAAAGCCTTCGGCAAGCTATTCAACCAGCCGATATCTTATTTCGATGAAAATCGAAAATAAACATTGAGACGTAGAATTTTCTTACAATGTATGGAGCTGTGAAGGTTGCCAAAGAAATGAGAAGACATATCATAGAAGTGTCAGAAATTCGTGAGAGAGGGTTGGGCTCTTCGAATTGTTAACTGGAGAATCAATAATCTATTCCATTCACTCAGAAGACAATCAAAGACACAATAAGGGAGTATCTATCATGATGCTACCAATATCCGCAAAAGCTCTTATGGCGTGGGGATCAGTCTCCTCCTCCAGGATAATGACAGCAAGGTTCGACTCATAAGAAAGTAAGTTTACAAGAGAATGGTGAAGATTTCTATAGACTACAACAAGCATCAATCACTATAGACGTTAGAGATTTGAACGGTTTCACTTCCTTAACTTATCTAAGCCGAATCATTTCAACTTAAGAGAGAGCAACAAATGAGGATGTTGAAACAAGAATCGGGAAGACAAGGCACCCTCTCATCACTCAGAAATCAGTTTGGACATCTTCTGAACCAAGCATAAACGACCAAAATTCGGATTTTCAATACCAATGTTCTGTCATTCATTTCTTCTGTATGAGTGAAAAACTTCGTATTTCCAACAGGCTACTTAAAACCGTATCAACAGCCACCTACCCTGGCTCCATACTGAAGATTAGATGGCCAGCCAGAAAGAACTGGTAACAACAATTGGTTCTGCGAACGAAACAACTAAGAACCTATTTCGCAAAAAATATTTCCTGAAGGATGGAAATGGATCAGACACATACTAGAGAGAACTTTGAGTGATATCGCGCTAGTGGGGAACGATCAATTGGGTCAGAATCCGGTTGGGACATGAAGTAGATTGTGGGGGGTGGGAGGAGAAGATGAGAACCGGTAGGCCATTGTGAGTCCAGCTAAAGAGAGGACTTTACACAGCCAAATGATATTGAGTCGGGCTGTTGATGCCCTGTATTCCATCCACACTGAACACAAAGGAATAATAAGATTAGGAGATTTGAGGCCACAGTGTTATTTTAGCATTTTTAATGTCTGATTAAGCTCACAATGACACCTTACAATTTATCAAAAGATTGTTTACGCCTACATCTTAATATCTGCCAGTGTTTTAAAGATATGATGTAGACTGCGCACGTATGAGCAGATTGTTATTCTACTTCACTGTGTTCGTTAGACGAAAAACCGTGAAAGATAGGAGTGTTTATGGAGTAAGGTATTGAATGTTGTTTGTTGTCTACAGGAATATAATCAAATAAGAAGAAGAAGAGGAATGAGTTTCAGTGAAAAATGTTTGCACAACAATCACTCCAACAGAATGCTTTAAATCATCGCAGATGTAGGGTGAATAAATGTAGAAATTTCTAATCTCTGGTCTGTCGCTGTAATGTCGCTTTCTTCTTGAATAATGGCTTACGCCTAATACAAAAATATAAACAGATACTCTAAGATAATAGAGTTGCTAATTGTTGTCATTTAGCTATCGTGCAATACGATCAGTGTTTGTAAGTATGGTGTGTGCTTTGCACCGTCTAAGTTCAAAGTACTGTTACAAGATTGGCAGGAGCCTGTACCTGCGCTCACTCTTGCGGGTGAACCGCTTGAAGTTGTTGATAAGTTTGTGCACCTGGGTAGTTGTGTGAGTGCTGGCGGAGGGGTGACGGATGAGATTTCCAACCGTATAATGAAGGCTAGGGTGGCATACATCAACTTGTGCCACCTCTGGCGCCGTCGCGACGTTAGCCTGGCTGTCAAAGGTCGGGTATACAATGCTTCGGTGCGGGCTGCGCTGCTCTACGCCTGTGAAACCTGGCCTCTCCGAGCTGAGGATGTGCGGCGACTCTGCGTGTTCGATCATCGCTGTCTCCGCTGGATTGCTTGCGTTCGATGGCATCATCGCGTGAGTAATTCTGAGGTTCGGCGGCGTGTGTTTGAACACAGTGGAGATCACCATTCATTGAGTGTCGTCATCTGAAAACACCAGCTCCGGTGGCTTGGACATGTGCTGCGAATGTCATCTCAGAGGCTTCCGTACAGGTCTCTGTTCGCTAGCTCTGGGACGGGATGGAAAAGGCGGAGAGGTGGTCAGTCCATGACGTGGCGTCGTGGGATGAAGGATATCTGTGCTAGATTAGCATCGGTTGGTGTGTCACGACTCCCTGGTTGGGGTCCGAGAGATAGCTCGAATCGATGGCTCGAAACGTTATCGGATATGGCCAAGAATCGTAATCAATGGCGAACGTGTTGCAATTTCCTTCTTTCTTCTCTTCCTGATGATAGTTAACGAATACTGTTTGAACTTGTTAAACATGACTGTTTTCCTTCCAGATGAAGTTCTCTATCCGTTCTCTACCTATATTTTTACTTTTAATCTATGTTGTTTTATTATTATTGTGTGGTGCATCTTTCTTGGTTCCATATTGTACCAAGTTTTTTCTGCGTTTAAATAAATAAATAAATAATACGATTTACATGCAAATAAGCAGTTTAAACACGTGATAACTCAAAGCACATCTGTTTTTTTTCGTGTTTACGTGACTGTATAATTTACTTCTAAAATAATAAAGTGATTACAGCCAGCAAGATGGGAAACTATTCAGTGTTTATGAGAAGATCAGGAGAATGATCAGTCAGTCAGAATTCTAAAGCAAGAACAACAGTGCTTTTTGCAGAATAAAATGGTACCATCATTGTTTATTTCGTTCGCTTCTCATTAGCTGCTTACATACAGGGCAAAGACATTACTAAATATATCTACAAAAACAATTTTAACATACTTGCACAGAATTCACTTTAAACAAAAATCAATCAATCAATATATGCATACAGTAAAAGGCAACTCTAAAGAATAGCAGCCCAAACCTAAACTACCTAGAGAACGGATAAATGACCTTGACAAGGAAACCTCAACCAATCAGAAGGCTCAAAAAACGCGCATAATTGTAATAAACCGTTTATATAGAAGTAATGCAATGTTGAAAAATAGTTACAAAGGACAACGTTCTCGTATATGTTGCAAAAAAGCCTCCCAATTTCTCATAGGAGTCTTGATACTCATAATAAACCAAGTGCTGTACACTAACTCATCGAGATTACTGTATATCATTGCATTTCTTGATCCATTCAGAGATCTGATCTGTTTTTTGAGGTGACTCCAGAAACTTTCGATGGAATTAGTGTGAGTCTCATCAAAAGGATTGAGAAAACCATTTGTATGGTTGACCACTTGATGAATATAGCCCAGATTTGATAACTGACTGTAACTACTCCATTCATCTGTATGTAAGCGCTGGATAATAGCCAGAATGCACCTGCACTGCGATAAGGGATTTCCTCAGTATATCCTTTCTGGAAGCTGGTGTCATATATCCTCAATACCTATTGCTGATTCGCACTCTATCTCCCTGGATTATATTTTCTTTTTATCAAAAGTACCTAAGGAATCTGTAAATTAAAAACGAACAACATACATTTTCGGACTGATTTTCTGGTTCGGCACTCATTTCACCAACAAACAAACCCATCGCTGCACCTATTGTATCTTTGCATATGAATGACACCTCCACATTGGCAATTTTTCGGCATTTCTATCAGTTCGTTCTCCAAACAGTAATCAAAAAACAAGATCTGGAGCACCCATAAATACGTCTAGAAAATACGGAGTCACCTGATTGGTTGCTCAAGGTCATTTATCTGTTCGCTAGGTAGTTTCGGTTTGGGCTGCTATTCTTTAGAGTTGCCCAGTAATAATATATATATATGTAATATTAAACACTATTCCGAACAATAATAATCATACACAATGGAAACTTTTCAGCATTACGTATTCAGATGAAGGAGAGAGATGAAAATATCCAGTTACCAGGCAGGGCAAAGAAAGACTGGTAACTGTTTCTTTTTGAACGCGCCAATCAGGTTTCAGGCGCTTGATGCAGATAGCTTCAGAAAACTTGAGGATAATTCAGCTCTTTTGCCTATTGATAATTTTGAACGATTTTGCAACGCCCGACGCATGATCCATACAATGTTGTAGATATTCTGTTCTTTCATACATTTACATATCCTATTTCAGTCTATAACCTTTCGTCGACTCTTCACTTGTCTACAAATGTGATGCACTACACTTTACTGGCATAAGAAAGTTGTCTGCGTAGAGATGGTTAGAGTATAGATAGATAATTGTTTTGTTGAATCGTGCCTAACAGCTTTTTTCTTTTATTCTTTTATATTCCAAATGGAACATAGGGAGCTTCAAGCTAGAGCTTTGGAGCTTCGGTAGCAGTGGTTTTTATTTTTACGGGATAGGGGTTGCTAGCCTCATGCCCAACCTTCCATCTTTAACAGTTTTATTAGTGGCCGGGGGTTGAACCCTGGACTACATGTGTAGCTGGCGAGCATTCTACCACTGTACCACCCAAGCACCCTAACAGTTTTAGTGGCGATTAATTTCTTTCAAAAAAATTGTCTATTAATACCGAGACATGAGTAAATGCTTTCATTGTCAAAGTCGAAAGTTACTTGTTACTTTACCTATGAAGCCGCTGTGACTTTTACGTTTCAAGCCACAGTTTTTCCAGGGGAATTTCCCTCTTTGCTTTGAATACTTGAAGGGAAGTATTGTATATCCCAGTAGAATATTAAGTTGAAACTGGAAAACAGTGGTAACCTCAAGTAGAACGCATTACTCAGCTTAGTAGAGAAGCTACAATGAATATGACATAAATTACTGTTAAGCTACGGAAATATAAGAACTATAAAAATACTGAAATACAGTTTACTTGAGTGTAGAAAGACACATTTGAAAATATCGATTTTTTAGGTTATTTGAATAATTTAACTTTTTATATATACATTAAGACTGATGAACTCGTGTAATCCTTCCCTTGTTCATATTTCAGAAAACGCTGTCATTCGTATTTACCTTTGTTTAATTTCAGTTTATCATGGGATTACTCAGACTAGGAGGTCTCATTCGATACTTTTCTGTACCAATGACATCTGGATTTACTGTTGGAGTAGCTGTACATGTTTTTACAAGTCAAGTGAAAAATGTACTGGGTTTGAAATTACCTCGCTTCGCTGGAGTATTCACTATCCCCCTTGTAAGTCAGTCTAAAGAGATACTTTAGTCAATTTTTTGATAACTTTTCACTTGACAATAGTCATTGTCTATTGATAGAGAAGATTTGTAGCTCAGATGGATGATTTGCAATTAGTAGTGTTCTCTCTGAGCTGGTTGGTTTAGTTGCGGAGCTTTCGTCGTCCTACTGGACAACATCTTCAGCGCAATTTTTAGCATAAATTGAACTGATTTAAATTTTCCATGAGTAATAGAATTGTTTCCCCCGAAAAATTTAAATCAATTCAATTTATGCTAAAAATTGCGCTGAAGATGTTTTTCAGAAGGACGACGAAAGCTCAGCAACTAAACCAACCATCTCAGAGAACACTACTAATTGCAAATTGTCTATTTAAACTGAGTATAGACAGATATTTTGGTCACTCACAATAAGCGTAACGACGGCGCATTCAAAGTAAAGAACAGAGCTGCTTTAAAATAAAACTTACAAGCCTATGGAAGAGGATAGGTTCCAGGATTTCATCATTAAGTGACATCGGTTGGACAACCATTGTGACCAGTTCGGTACAACAGGTTGGTTGTGAGGTCAAATACTCACCGCGGATGAAATCGTGTACCGATCGTGCTATGTCGTGAATTGTCAGAAGTTGGAATTCATGGACCATTGAAACGGGTCCCAGTGACTCAGTGGTTGACGAATTCGCCTTGTATTCGGATGTCCTCAGGTTTGAACCCCGGTGGTGGTTGCATACTGATGAAAAGCCCCAAACCAGGCAGATGAAACGGCTCTCCGGTACCCTTTGATTTTCCAGTGGTTCTCTTACTGATGGCAGCTCATGAGAAAATCCTGTAACGTATCAATCAAATGCCTGTAAACCAACACTTGAGTATGAAGGATAAATTCATAACCGTGTTTTGTTTGTAAAAGTGACTTACGTTTAAACTTTGATGCTGTGATCTTTTAGCTCCAGACATTTAGTCTTCTTCATAGAATATTTGACCACGAATTAACTTTATTTAGAAGGCCAGGAAGTACTTAACACTCGTCTCATCTCAGTTTGGCACTCTTCAAAAGTACGCACACATGATCCCACTGAGGATCGAATCCAGGACCTTAAAGTTACCAAGGGAACGTATTGACCATTCATCCACTTGGTAAGAAACATAAGTGTCCATCAAATTCCGGCTTCTTCCAATTCGTAATACGTATCTATTATGATGGGATAGTTGCCCAGTACTTCCTGCATTTCACTGGTTCTCTAAACGAAGTCAGCTAGTGATCAGACATGAGATCGACCAAATCCCTTGAAACCAACACTTAGAAATCTTCTTTAGTTCTTCGTTTAGTAACCAAATAACTGAAATACGTTTTAAAATTTTTCAAGTTAACTCAAGTCAATTCCTTCACGTTCCAGAGGCTTGAAGTTTCTTTTGTAGCAGTGTTTATTTTTAGAGTATGGAGTTGTTAGCCTCATACCCAACCTACCCTCTTTACCAGCATTATTTCTGGCTTAGCGAGGTAAAGGAGTGCATCAGCCGGGGACCGAACCCTGGACCATGCGCATGGTCGGCGAGCGTAATAACCGCTGCGTCAGCGACGCTTTACAATTTTCACTGGAACTGAGTGCAACGAGGAATTAATTTCAAGTCCTGCCAATCCGGAAATGGTCAGCGAACTCACTTCATTGCCTGAAATTCCTTAAGTCGGTCCTTTGTTTGGTAAGGAGTACGTGTTGTTGGGGCTTCCTAAAACAGGAGGCTGTTGAATACTCTCTGATTTTGTCGAATGTCTGTAGGAACTCTTAGTAATCCGTAAATACTTGCCTGTAACACAGACTTTATCTGAAAAGGAATTGAATTCCAAGTATTCGAACCTCGAATATCCAATCTTTTGCAGTATTTTGTCATTTTCAAGAGATATTATCATTATAATGAACAGCGTCTTACGCAGATATCCAGATTCCTAATGCTGGGGATACATTTTTACGTTGAAGGACAGATTAGTTACGGGGTGACAAAATAAATAGTGGTATTTATGTGACAAACGTAATAGGCTGAATTCATGGGCCAGCCACTGAATCACGTCCCAGTGGTTGAATGGTCTACGAGCTTGCTTGCTTGTAGCCGGAGGGTCATGGGTTCAAGCCCTGGTAGTGGGTGCGTACTGCCGACTAGTTCCAGACTAAGATGAAACAGTTTTCCAGTACTCTCTGATTTTTAATGGTTCTCTAACTGATATTAATCCGTGGCCAAACTCGGAAAACAAATCTAATTCTTACAAATCAACTCTTGAAAATGAATTCTATTGCAAAATATTGTTAAATGGGAGACAATGGTGGTAATTAGTCATAATAGGTTTCTACATTGTGGGGTAGGAAAACCTAACAGTTCATTTCAAGGTTACAAAAGGTGTCAGGTGAGTAGCTGGTACAAAGTAGTACATATTGAGGAGGAGATGGTAGACTGCAATGAGGAGTTTATCATGAAATAGTCAATATATGAAATGAAAAAGGTGGAGGCATATGTTGAGAAAAGACAATAATTTAAATATTCCCATAACGGTAATTGTAAAACACGATTTAAACAAACCAGTTATTTTCGGTAAATTCTCATCAGACTTTACATTTATATAATGAAATATTAGTCATAAGCATTTGAATTAATGCGGTTAATAAAATATGGGATCAGAGTTCAGGGATGTGGATTAATGGAGTGTTGTCCAGCGTGGTTAGTTAGATAAAGGTGTCGTAAGGTCAATCAGAAGTTCCATGCTGGCTCACCTGGTGAATACGCAGCACAAGACTGTCAAAATTTCAGTCTTCACAATTCCATACAAGCTGCCACCTCAGCTCCCTAAGTTTGTACGCCTTCGACTGCTAAGCATAGCTGAAGCAGTTATCATAAAGTACTTTCAACCTAGTCCCCGTGTTCAGAAGAAGTTTGTCTAGTCCCTCTCGCACTAATAGCATTCAAACCTAACCTAGATTAGTTATCTCTCACTGTGACAGCGGATAACTGCAAATATTACCTTAATATGGAGTTAATTGGTGGATAGTGACTAGCAGTAGAATCCAAGATACGCATTTCGTCCTATTTGGAACTCGCTAGGTATGCGTATCTGCACTTTGGTCCAATCAGTTGACAAGAAAATATAAAATTGAATTAAACAATTAATAAGACCCGTTGCACAACACATGGATCCCGTGGCCCAAGTGGTCTAGTGGATTACGCTTTGGCGTTTGAAACTATGGACACTGGGTTCGAGTCTCGCTGTAGAAACCACCACTGACTCACTGAGGAATGCAGGTACATCCATCTAGCGAGTCCCAAATAGGACGAAATGCGTATCTTGGATTCTACTGCTAGTCACTATCCACCAATTAACTCCATATTAAGGTAATATTTGCAGTTATCCGCTGTCACAGTGAGAGATAACTAATCTAGGTTAGGTTTGAATGCTATTAGTGCGAGAGGGACTGGACAAACTTCTTCTGAACACGGGGACTAGGTTGAAAGTACTTTATGATAACTGCTTCAGCTATGCTTAGCAATCGAAGGCGTACAAACTTAGGGAGTTGAGGTGGCAGCTTGTATAGAATTGTAAAGACTGAAATTTTGTCAGTCTTGTGCTGCGTATTCACCAGGTGTGCCAGCATGGAACTTCTGATTGACTTTACGACACCTTTATCTAACTAACCACGTTGGACAATGCTCCATTAATCCACATCCCTGAACTCTGATCCCATATTTTATTAACCACATTAATTCAAAAGAGATAATATCACTAATAATAAGTCTGGATAGTATAAATGGAAATTTCGATAGGATTGAAAGAATGCTCGAATGAAAGGTATGAATTATAACGAATAACTGTAACAAGTTGTAATAATAAGCAAAGCAAAAGAAGAAAAGGGATAAGAAGAGATGCTGAAGAGAAGAAGAAACTTTAATCCTAGTTTGACCACGTTGGGAACAGCATTTCAACGTGTTCTTCTCGACAACGAAATCTTTCTGCACAATTACTCAGAAGTGGTTTCTGAAAATGAACAGAAACTGAGTAATAGTCAACAATACAATGGAAGTAAGGGTCTTAAACTCTTTCCTACTTGCTTACTTGTAATTTCAGTAAGAAATTCTCTGTCATCACTCTCGTATGATTCTTCAGTAAATTTAACCAGGTTTTCCTCTTCCTCTCTCACCTTCTTCACACTTGTCAAGTGGGCACAAACACCTCGCTTCTCATGGAATAATAATTTCCACTTGAAATGTTGGTTTGCAGGGATTTGATTGATTGGTTACAGGATTTCATCATGAGCTGACATCAGTTGGAGAACCACTCGAAAACCAGCTGGGAGTACTGCCAAACAGCTGCCTCGTCCTAGTTTGAGATTCTTTATCAGTACGCACCCACCGCCGGGTTTCAAACCCAGGAACTTTCAGTTACAAGACGAGCTTGTAGACTACTAAGCCACTGGAACCCACCCGATCCCATGGCCAGTCCATGAATTCTAACTTCTGCCACTTCACGACATAGCGCGACTAGCAAAAGCCAATGCCACTAGGACTCAAACCAGGAGGTTCTGGAGTCGAACCCAGTTGACGGATGCGTACTTCTGAAGAATCCTAGACTAGGACGAAACTACTGTCTGGCAGTAGTCCCAGCTGGTTTTCCAGTGGTTCTCTAACCGATGTCAGCTCATGGTGAAAATTTTCTCTTTATCAAATTTCATTGTTTTAAATAAATTTATATAACCTGTTTTCATTCACTTGATAGACTTACATTGCAATATTTCGTAACATCCAATATGCCAATGTACCAACACTGTTACTTTCCGGTGTGTGCATTACAATACTGGCAGTTTATAAAGATTGGATCAGCCCAAAAGTCATGAAATTTTCGAAAATTCCAATACCAGTGGATTTAATTATTGTAAGTAAGCGTCTTTTTTTGTTCTGTCGTGAATTTTTGTTCACTCTGTATATCACCAACTCACATTTAATACTTTTATCATTAAAGTCTCAACAGGCAAAACTGTTTACTCAGTGGGAAATATGACATGGTGACAATAAACATGACGTTATAACACATTGTTAGTTCCATATTCGATAAGTTTATTCTATGTAACGTACAGTGACATGGTAGAGATCGGTCAGATTTTAGACCAACTCAATTCATACGTAATGAAACGAAAACTACAGGAGATTCATTGAGAAAAAGATGAAAAAATGACAAGTTCTGACATAATATGATTGTACGCTAACATCCCAGTTAATGGAGCTCTGGAGGTAGTTAAGAATGAACTGGATATTGACCTGAACTCACATATAGGACTAAGCTCTCGGTTGATGAAATAATATTAGGTGTTCAGTTATGTCTAACCTCCATTGTATTCAAATTTCAAAATAAACTATATAAACAAACGAATAGGGTGGTAATGGGATCACCAATATCCCCAACAGTAGCAGACATGTTTATATGGATAGTTGGGGAGATAAAGCTCTTAGAGCGTCTAATCCTGCTCCACCTAGGTTATGGTAGAGATATATGGACGAGACATTCACTGTTTTGAAATCTGAACACATCCCTCATTTTTTCACACAGTTACCCACTAGTGACTTGCTGCAGCACGGATTTTCCTGGAGCTTTAGTGAGAAGTCGTGACCAGTGAGGTCCAACCAGTCAAGTGTGAGGATGGATTCCTCACCGATGACACCGGTTGGTGGCCGCGCTAAATCATGAATTGGTAGAAGTTGGAATTAATGTGCTAGCCATTGAATCAGGTCTCAGTGGCTGAACGGTCTACGAGTTTGCTTGCTTTTGACCGGAGGGTCCTGGGTTTGAGCCCTGGCAGTGGTCGCGTACTGCTGATGATTCTCAAACTAGGATGAAACAGTTGTCCAGCACTCTCCGGTTTTCAATGGTTCTCTAACTGAAATCAATCCGTAGTCAAACTTGTAAAAACATATCAACTCAGTAGTAGACGGAATGCAATTCACTTCTGAGTTGGAAAATAAACAAGATGACTTAGCTATGCTAGACTGTAAAATGAAATGAATATAGGATGGTGGGTTAGATACTAGTACTTTTAGGAATCCAACACACTCTAATTAATACTAAGACTTTAATTCATCCCATCCAGGATTGGTAAATGTTGGTTTAGTTAAGGGTTTAAATAATCGAGACGGGAGCCTAACCAGTAAGTCAGAAGATTTCAATAATGAAATCACACAAATAAAGGAAACATTACTAGTGAATAACTACCGACCAGGATTTATTCAGAATTTGTAAGAAGACCCACGAAAAATAAAAGTACTAATGGCAAAACTGAAAATACGGTAAATATTAAGGAATCTAAAGCCTTCATAGTATTACAATAGAAAGAAGGAAAATCACAAGCCCTCCGCGGGATTCCTAATAAGTCTGGAATTGAAGTGCTATTTAAACTACTCAACTGACTCAGAGACAAACTTTGTCACCCTAAGCACCCGATACATCCAATTCGAAAAAAACAATAATGTAATTTACTAAATACCATTTAATGACTGTGAGGTTAATTACACACAGGTCAAACTGGTGCATCAGCATCAGTCGGATTATCGGAACACATAGAAAATTAGCTATAAATAGAATGATTGACCTTGCTAAGGTAAATAACCTACAAAAAGAACTCAGCTACTACAATGCATGTACCCGCATGAAATCACACAACAGGGTGAGATAGGGTAGTAATATTATTAAAAATTAATATAGTTTGATGTATAGAGAGGCTAATCACCAAGACTTTATTCATCGAATTAACACCAAACACCTACAGTCAAAATGAAGCAACGCTCTAAACCAAATCTATCGAATTTCGCAATAAACAAAAAGATAGAAGGTGGGCCATTGAATTGGGTCCCAGTGACTGAATGGTCTACGCACTTGCTTGCTTGTAACCGGAAGGTCCTGGGTTCGAACCCCAGTGGGTGAGTACTGCCGATGATTCCGAAACTAGGATGAAACAGCTGTCCAGTACCCCCTGGTTTTCAATGGTTCTCTATATGATATCAATCTGTCATCAACTCGTTAAAATATATGAAGCAAATTGTGAAACCGTGTGAATACACTGGCATGATCATAAGTAGCAATCAATTATTCTTGAGACGTCATTTAGTTATAGATATCGCATCACTGTATGTTATATCAAATAACCTTATATAATAAGTAATTATGTTTGACCACAGTCACCAAATTCTACTGAAATATTAATAATATTTCGATAAAGAAAGGAAGACGAAATTTGCAGTATAAAATGATATCATTCTATTTCACAGGTTCTCATCAGCTGCAGACTACTTTATTGTTTGAGTAGTAGTAGAGAAGAGATAAAATTGACGCATCCAAAAGACGCCTCCCTGCCCAAACTATTAAGTCACTGAATCAGGTGGTGACCATACGATGCAGAATATCTAGAGAATCAACAAAGATCAGGTTCTATGAACAGTGTTTGCAAACAGGTTGTTTCCCACGGCAGTTCCTGAAACAAGTGCGATCGGCTAAACTCCCACCTTCCCAAAAGAATCTCCGTCGAATAACAAAATCTCACATCGAATCTTCATACCAATACCTCTCCGAATTGAAATCTCGTCTGGCTACCTATGATACCCTACTGAGCGAGCTTAATATTATTTGCTGGCTAGAATTCATGAATTTTATCAAAGAGCTACAATCAAAAACATCTAAGGATTATGAAACTCAGTTGACAAAAGCGTTGGTGAAAGAGAAGCTAATCGAAGAATTCCCAGAATCACCTGAACGCTACGTCTGTAATCTATCAAAATTACAATCAAACAAAATCGAATTAGAAGCCTTATCTCTAGGATTCAAGTTTTACGTCCCCAAGAAGCAGATCAGTCGTATAGATACAGAAGCACAATTCGAACACTTATACCATCAACTCCACGACCTGAAACCCTTAAACGAAGATAAAAGAGGATGGCTAAAGTCTAAACTTGTTGATATTGCTAACCAATACTACATATCGCGAATGGAGAAGCAGAAGATGCTGACCGAAGAGCGAGAACGATGAAATCGTCATATTTAGACCTGATACAGGCTCTGGGGTTGTTATAATGGACAAAGCTGATAACATTCATAAAATGATGACAATTCTAAACGACAAAGAAAAATTCTAAGTAGACAACAAAAGAGATGCCACAACATCGTTTGAAAATAAAGTAAATAAATGTCTCAAAGAACTTCTAATGAAGAAACTAATCAACAGCGAAACATACAATAAACTGAAGTCAAAAGGTGGACGCCTGCCATCTATGTACGGCCTACCGAAAATCCATAAAGCAAACGTGCCTTTAAGACCAATCTTGTCAATGATTGACTCACCATGCCACAAGTTAGCTCGATGGTTAGCTGATTCCATAGAGCCAATTCGAATTAAATTTGCAGCCCATAGCCTGAAGGATAGCTACCAATTTTCCAAGGAAGTTGACAATATTGACATATCAGACAAACTCATGGTATCGTATGATGTGACCTCCTTGTTCACAAACGTACCACTGATGGAAACGATTGATATCATTTGTAAACAAACGGATCTACTACCGTTACCGGAAACAGAGATGAAGCGACTACTGCTGCTCTGCACAAAAGATATACAATTCAAATTCAACAATCAACTCTACCGACAAATTGATGGGGTCGCTATGGGTTCACCTCTGGGACCTATCCTGGCTGATATCTTCATGGGCTACCTTGAACAGACACAACTAAGTTCTGCTATCAATGGAACAACCTACTATCGCCGATATGTTGATGACACATTTGTTGTTTGCAACGACATGGATCACGCATCGGCATTATATGATCGCCTAAATGAGATCCATCCAAATATCAAGTTCACCATGGAATATGAACATAAAAATGAGTTCAATTTCCTGGATCTAAATGTAAAAAGAACAAACGAAGGCATGATTGAAAAGTCCATCTATAGAAAAGAAACCTGGACTGGACAATATCTTCACTATAACAGCTTTTGTCCCATAAGCTATAAACGTGGATTAGTGAGGACTTTGTACGACAGAGCCAGGAAGCTATGTTCACCAAACAAGGTCGAAGAAGAACTAGATTTCGTCAAGAAATGCCTGAGGGAAAATGGATACCCTAAAGGATTTATACAGAAGTATAGCAGAGAAAAAGATAAGAAAGAAAAGCATCCAACTGTAGAAAAGAAGAAAGTGTTTATTTGTCTCCCATTCAAAGGAGATGCAGTGTCACAAAAGATTGACAGAAGACTGAAAGGAGCAATAAATAGAAGCTTCCCGGCAGCAAAACTCATAACAGTATACAACACCACTCCTTCCATGATCCACTCAAAACTGGATAAATACCCTGCTGATGTCACCTCCAACTGCGTTTATGAATTTACGTGCACTTGCGGGAGCAAGTACATTGGAAGGACAGAAAGAAGGGCTTCTATCCGGTTTTCTGAACATATTCCAAGAAACCTATGCCTGAAAGGAAGCAAATATTCTCAGAGTGCAATTACCAGACATATTGTTGATACCGGACATCTCGTAGAGATTTCTAAGTCCTTCAAAATATTAAATAGACAAAGGACAGCAAATTTACTACGATTTGCCGAAGCGATCGCAATCAAACGATTTAAACCAGACTTATGCATACAGAAAGAGAGTGTGATTAACCTCTCACTCCCTTGGTAACTGAATTTTGATTTTGATTACAATAATTAGTCATCTAATTCAGTGATCTCAACTCACTGAGCAAATCTCAATCTTATAAACTGTAAATGCTTTTGTTTTTGGAGTTGCCATGTGAACCTACAAGCTAACACTGTTTCTGTTAATCAATTTTTCTGTTTTCTGTCTTACCCCTCCCCCTCTTTTCAACTCTGAAAGTGTATAAATTGATGATGA